TGTTTTCCTCAAAAAACCGTCTTATTTTTAAAACTAAGCAAAATCGACCAATAAAAATTTAGCTTAAAAACATTGTCACAAAAATCTACAGCCAAAAACGCTAAGAAACATGATGTTTTATTTAAAAAAACACAAGTTCGTATTGTAACTTATTTTTTTGTGTAATACGTTTTTAAAAAGTACATGTTTTTGTCAAAGAAAACATCTTATTTTTAAAACTAAGCAAAATTCACCAATAAAAGTTGTCATAAAAATCTACATCCAAAAACGCTAAGAAACATACGGTGCTTTAGTACACAAGTCTGTATTGTTACTTATTTTTTAGACACGCTGTATAGTTGAAAATAATTTTAGGCGATGGACTAGATTGCTATCTAAAAAACGTGAGCTGAGCGTATTTGAAATTTCCCAAACGTAACCTTAAAAGAGCGTTTGTTAATTATTTTTCTAATTACGAGTATAAATATACTAAAAAAAACCTAATCCTTCTTTTTCATATGCTTAAATACGATTTTAAAATAATAAAAAATGGTAGAGTTATCGATTTTTGAATAAAAAGATGCAAATGCAAAAAAATTCAAAAAAGTTTATACAGAGTGCGCCAGAACTCGCATATAAAGAAAGATACAGGAAAAATGTTTAAAAAAGTCTATCCATAAAAATTTTGACGTTATAAGAGTTTAAATTTTGCACTTTGACTTTATTTATTTCTGTTGGAAAAATAAGTTTCCAACTGCTTTTGCTACTGGCTATTAGAAAAGGAAAAGGAAGCTGTTGCCCAAATTTTAATTATGTTTATTGTTATTTGTGACTTTTATTAACAAAATTTTTGTACTTTTACTAAACAGTTATAAAAAAAAACATACACAAGACCATCAGTATCATTCAATAGTCATAAAAAAAATGTCAAATGCAAAAAAAAAATGTCAAAGTTTTTTGATAATTAGAATGTTTTAAACGTTTTTCCTTGTTCCTAGTATCTTATCTTACTTAAAATTTTCTCTGGGGCGCAAAATCTGACACAGCCAGTATATTTTGAAAACGATCAGACTTAAATATAGGGAAAGCTGATGAAAATTTTCTCAAAATCACTTGAGAAATCCAAAAACGCAATAAAAAACATAGCTTTGTATGGCAATAAATAAAATTTTAGATAAATATCATTGTTAGAAAACCCAAAACTTCAAGAATACTTGTAATTTATTTTTCAACATTAAGTTTAATTTCTAAAAACCATCAAAATTATTTTGGAGTTACAAAAATTAAGTTTTCAATACAAAAATTCAATTGGAATTATACGAATTAATTTGAAAACAATAGAATTACGATAGATTATTGGAATTTTTTTGGAATTGCTGCTGTGGATTTTTTTGAATTGTAATTAGTTGTACTTTTTTTTTTCAAATTAGCGGCCCCTCAGTTATGATGATTGAGTTTGCCTTAAAATTGGTTAATTTCAAGCTGGGGCATAGATCAGCGAATCCGCTAATTGACCATCCGGCGGCGAACAAATGTGGCCAACGTGAAAATATTTTATGGTCAGTGTTACCACCCGACACGCAAACAACTCGAGCGGTTTTATTGTTGTCGGTATTTATATTCAAGTCAAATTGCATTTTTGCGGCCAAGATAACAGTTTTGCCTCGATAGTATTTTATCTTGCAGTTGAATGGTTTAATTGGATGACATTACACAACGAATATTTGAATCAACATTTAATTTATTATTAATGTTTGAAACGTCAATAAAATGCAATCTGATAAATTTATTATTCTGCTCTGGCGTAATTACGAAACGGATGTAATTGGAGACTGATAATATAAATTTGGTTGGGGTAGGGTGTGGGATGGCCTCGTTTAGGCGTCGAAAAGGCGCACCTGAGTTGAATTTTTTATAATTTTGAAAAATCTCGCTTTTAAGTGTTCCATCCATCATCGGCGGTGTCAATTCTGAAAGCTCCATAATCGATATTTCAGCATTTGTTCGCCGACAAGTTGATCTTGGCGAGTCCGTTGTACGTCCTCAGACATGAGTAATTCGGCATGGCACAGCACGTTCCTTGTTTAATTTCGTTCCCGACGTTTTGAAAAATTGTAATTGCTTTATCTCCTTAAAACGAATTGGCCACTTGAGATTTTTTACGTGACAAGATTTATAAACGCGAATTATATCTGTATTTCGAGCATTTCCCTCCGGTTTCGTCATTGCTCAAATTACCCGGAAACACCTTTACTTACTCCGGCGAGACGCCGCCACGTCACAAAAAATTAATTAAAACGTCAACACTCCCGCTCAAATTCGAAGATTAACCCAAGACTTCAAAAGCCTTACCTGAAACGTCCGAAAAACTCCTCAGTAATTAGTACACGACTTCAAAGGGGTGTTTCAGCACACGTCACGGGCAGAAAACCGGCTGAAAAAATATTTTTGCAACAAACTCAACCACTAGCACTATAAATTCCTCTAATCCCTGCGCTGGGGCTCCAATAAATCGAATCTAAGCCCGGCAGGACGCAATTAGCTCTTATTAAAAGTAAGCTTGTAGAAAATGCAAATGACTTAATCGAAGCGAATTTACAGAATGTGGCTTTGGGTGGGATCAGCCGTTTTCCTGATGGGACTGCTGCAGGAAGCGACGCCAGGACCGGCCTGCAGGATCAGCGAGTTTCCGTGCCGGAACGGCAGGTGCGTCAAACTCAACGCATACTGCGATGGCAGCGACGACTGTGGCGACCTCTCCGACGAACCCCTCTACTGCACAGGTAAAAACTCAAAAAACTCTTGATGTTACACTCTTCATTTTTTTTTAAACAATAATCAGAATAGTCCGATTTAAAGTACTATTAATAATTTTGAAGTATTGTGAAATTGTCAAATTTATTACTTAAATATTAATGACTAATAAATAAAAACTAAAATTTTTTGAAACAGACTTTTAATTTGTAAAAAGCATCAATAATTTAAAAAAATATATTTTTTGAGTTTCAGCGTCAAGTTACTTTTTTAAAGAGTTTTGTATGCATTCAACATGAAACAATATTTATTCTTTTTTTACAAAGTTTATTTTATAGATTTATCTAATTTGAACAAAAATAATACCTATAAATTGTAAAATAATTTTTCTACAATAAAGAAGACAAAAAGCAAAATAATGTAAATCAACTATACAGGGAGTAAACCGTTATACGTCAACCAGTGATACAAAACGTCATTTTGAGAAAAAAAAGTTTAAATATTTTTTTTATCTTCATTCGTTAAAGAGCAAATAATAATAGTAAATGTAGTAAAAACAATAATATTTATAAAACAATAGCTTAGTCCGAAGTCTTATTTAACCGATACTGTTGGTGTGACATAAATATAGACATGAGTCCGAAACCGATTCCTTTATGAAATAAAAAAAAATTAATTGGGAAAAAAAGAGTTAAGTAAAAATACAATAATAACTACAAAAATTGCTTAAAATACCTATCAGTGCTTTAATTAAATGAGCAATTGTTTAATAAATGTCATCGTTTTTAATTTTTCACGACTTGTACACAATTCATTGTTACTTTTTGCTAAACTCTGTAACTCTTTAACAAATGAAGTTAGAAAAAAAAGTATTTAAACTTTTTTCTCAGAATGGCATTTTCTATCACTGGTTGACGTATGGTGATGGCGGTTTACGTTTGGGACACCCTGTATAAACTTTTACAGTATTTATAAAGTATGAAACCAAGCGGTTTTTTTTAAATAATTTGTCTCCAGAAATATAAATTTAATATAAATTAAAGTAATATTTAAAAAATGTGATTGCATTTTGAAAATAAAATTTTGTTTGGTTTTTGAGTTGAGTGATTTTTTTGTCAAAATGTCTATTTTTGTATTTTTTTTATAAGAATTAAATATAAAGTAGATAGTTGAAATTTTTCGATCATAACCTTTATGAGAAACATGGTTTCATAGTGGGTTGCCATTTAAAAAAAAAATTAAAAACTGCAAAAATCGTAAAACAAAAGAAAATTTCGAAAAATTTTATTCTTTATTGAAGGTCGCATTTTTGTAGTACTTTATCATTCATCAATTAATTTTTCTAAAAAAAATTGTTTAAACAAAAAACTTTTGTTTAAATATAATTAATATAAAGAATATTAATTATTTCTTGTTTATTTTTCCATCTGGACACTATTTACCGAAACACCAAACGTCTATTACAAAAAAATAAATTATTGTTAAATCAAATTTTGATAAAAATTGCACAAATCTTATTTTAGATTTTTTCTGATAAAAAATCGATAAAACTAATTCAAATAAATAAATAAGTCTACAACGTTTTGTGCATCAATGAGTAAAAAAAAGAAAAATCAATTTGTAATTGATTCTCAGAAAAAGCAAATTGAACTGAAAAAAAAAATAAGAAGCTAAAAAAATACTCATATTTAAAACCCGAGTTTCAATTTAAGTTTAATAAAAGTCGGCTCATTAACTTAATAAGTTTAGAAAGAAAATTCAAAATATTTTACTTGAAAAAGTGAATTTAAAAACATGCTTAAATTGAAGAGTTTCACTCTTGCTACCAATGAAAAAACGTTTAAGTTTTAAGAGTGGCTTTTTAGCTTTTTTACCCTCTTTAGTTTTCTCAATTTAATTACTACTTCCTCCAAAAATTTTATTTTTGATAAAGGGTCGCATTTTTATAGTACTTTATTATTCATCAATTAGTTTTTCCAAAAAATTTACAGTTTAAGCAAAAAACGTTTGGTTTCATACTTTTTATTCACCTAGTATATGTGGATTCTCCACACACCGACAGGTGGCGCTCTGCGCTACCACTGTCTCATCTTCACCTAGTATAGGCAAAAATGTGTTTTTATCAGTTTCTTACAAAATTCAATAAACAATAAAAAAAATTAATTATTTTTCTGTTTATTTTTCCTTTTAGACACTATTTACCCAAACATCAAACGTTTATTGCAAAAAATAAATTATTGTTTAAAAAAAATTGCATAGATCTTAATAAAAATATTTTAAATTTTTTTATTTACCCAAACATCAAACGTTTATTGCAAAAAATAAATTATTGTTTCATAAAAATTGCACAAATCTTAATAAAAAATATTTTAATTTTTTTCTAATAAAAAATCGATAAAACTAATAATTCAAATAAATAAAAAAAAACTCTACAACGTGTTGTCACATCACTCAGAAAAAGCAAACTGAACTGAAAAAAAAGGAAGCTAAAAAAATACTTATGTTTGAAACCCGAGTTAAATCTGCTTTCAATTTAAGTTTAATAAAAGTCGGCTCATTTACTTTAATAAGTTTAGCAACAAAATTCCGAATATTTTACTTTAAAAAGTAAATTTTCAAGAAAAATGCTTACATTGAAGAGTTCCACTTCTGCCACCAATGAAAAAAAGTTCAACTTTTGACTAATTTTTTTGTTGAATAAGTTTTTAGCTTTTTTACGCTTTTTCGAATTAATTACTCCTTCCTCGTGGCATCAAAACAAATCGAATCAATTAACCCGAAACTGTGTCAATGCCAAACCAATTACTCCAAACAGAATGAACTCCTTCCTGGTATTCCGTGTGAAAACACTTAATTACTCCAATTAATTATGTCATTTAGTCAGTCATTGTTAAAACTTCACGATGAACGGCGCGTCAATCCTGAGCATTTTTCTCATCTTGGTGATAATAATCCAAGTGGTACAAACCCGAAGATATATCTTCCAAACGGCGAAAATCTTCTCCCGGAATTCCTCTAAAGATCCGATGAAAAAGCAGATTTTCCGAGGCTTGGAAAGCATCGATCACCACCGTTTTGCTTCAGTCGTTGATCTGAAGGTTGAGACCTCGAAACTGGTTTTGTACAAGGGTGCAGTGAAAAGTTTGCAATATTTAAAAGCTTTGAGATTGAAGCAATGCGGAGTTGAGCTTTTGGCTCCCGGAGCGTTTCAGAATTTGCCCAAAATTGATTTGATTCACCTCCAAGATAACAATTTGAGGACTATTGAAGACGGAGTCTTCAATTATTTGCCAGTGCGTGAATTGTGGCTTCACCGGAACAGAATCCGGACCATCCGGAGTGGAGCTTTCGACAATATGCCCCACTTGGAAATAATCAAATTGAACAACAATTCGTTGGCAAGTTGGGACATCAACTGGTTTTCCAACACCCCAAAATTGACGCAAGTTTTTTTCCGGAAAAACAAAATCCGGGAAATTCCAGCCCGAGCTTTTGCCAATCTTAAAAGCAGTCACAAAGTCGACGGTCATGAATTAGTCGACTTGAAGCTCTATTTGAGCCACAACCGGATCAGAATGATCCATCCGCAAGCTTTTGACGGTTTGGACGCTTTGGATGAATTGTCACTCAACCGGAATTTGATTGAGAAAATTGAAGAAAGCTTCTTCGCACACTTCTCCGAATTGAATAAACTCGAATTGGCGTGGAACGAAATCACGGAAATTGACGAAGACGCGTTCCGGAATTTGAACGAAATTCTGGAATTGGACTTGAGTGGGAATTTCCTACAGTGTGTTCCGTATAAAGTGGTCGCAATTGCGAAAAACGTGAACGTCACAGGGATTTTTGAAATGGAGTGTGACTGTTTGGGGAATTTGAAAGAGAAGCTTTCGAATGAAAAGCTCCCAAATAAGATTTTCAGGAATGACAAAAAGTGTGCATTTGATTGATTCAAAAAATATTTATGTATTTATTGTTAATAAAAATTTATTTCACAAATTACTGATTATTTCACTAAATCCGGACACGTGTCTTCATCAAACTGCACTTCCTGTTCCCTTATTTCCTGCTCGATTCTCTTGATTTAAAGTCAGAATTTTGACACTGAGGGTGTTGAAAACGCCTTTTTTCACTTCTTGAATCGCATACTCCTCGAGATGAAGCATTTTTAGTTTGGTAAATTGAAAAAAGCCTCAGGTTCGATTATGAGAATCCCACATTTGGCCATAATTAACTCTCTCAAGCTCTTCACGTTGCGTAAAACCAAACTAAAAAAACTTGTTTAATGTTTTTTTCAAGATTTACAATTTTTTTATTTGAGTTTTGTTATAAAAGAGTAAATTTTTATTGAACTTTTATTTTTTTCTAGATTCTTTATTTCTTTTTAAGTTCTGTTCAAAATTTGAAATTTATGCTATGTAACTAAAAATTTTGCTTTTAAAAAATAAAATTCAAAGTTGTAGTTTAACACAGGAAAGTTTCATCCTAAACTAAAAATTCTGACTCATTTTTAAAGAGTTCTAAACTAAAAATTGAAATTTTATTTTTAATCTAAAACGAAACTAAAAAATCAAGCTTAATGCTTTTTTACAGATTTTACAATTTTTTTTGCGTTTTGATACAAAACAGTAAATTTTTATTGTATTTATAATTTTTATTTAATTCCATATTTCCTTTTACGTATCGTTTTGTTTGTAATTCGTAATTAATTATGTATAACTAGAAGTTTTGCTTTTAAAAATTAAAATTTAAACTTTTGCTTTAGCACAGAAAGGTTTCATCCTAAACTAAAAATTTGGACCCACTTTTAGAGTTTTCAACTAAAAATTGGAATTTTATTTTTTATCTAAAACCAGACTACGACAAAATGCTTAATGATTTTTTCAGATTTCAATTTTTTTGTTTTTAAGCTTTTTTTAACAGTAAATTTTTCTCTTAATTATTTTTTTTTACATAAGAAAAGTCGGTTTGTGATTTTTGTAATTTATAATAAATAACTTACATTTTTTATGGAGTGTGATTGTTTGGGGAATTTGAAAGAGAAGATTTCGAATGAAAAAAATATTTATTATTTATTGTTAATAAAAATTTATTTCACAAAATACTGGTCATTTCACTAAATCCGGACACGTGTCTTCATCAAACTGCACTTCCTGTTCCTTCATTTCCTGCTCTAATTTAACTGTCAAATTTTTGATGCACTCACAAGCCCCTGGGTTTTTTTCCAAATTTGTGACATTTGCTTTCACAACTAGACCATAATCGAGACAATTGAGTAAATTGCTTGACAAATCTAGAATTCCAATTTGGGCAATTTTTGGTAAAGCTCCCAGTTTCACTTCTTCAATTTTATTCCGGGCTAAATACAAAACATCGATTGTTTGCAAGTCACGAAAGGCATTCACCGGAATTAAGCTCAAGTTATTCCTGTCTAAATATAACTGACTCAAAGCAACTAAATTGTGAAAGCTTTCCGGATTAAGTGCCCCTAGTTTATTCTTACTGAGGAAGATTTTCAGTTCCGGTGATTGTAAATTTTTGAAAGCTTCAGACGGCAAGTAGTTAATTTTGTTCCTCCGGAGGAAAACTTCAGTCAATTGTGGGCAATTTTTGAACCAGTTTGAATCCCATTTCTTGAGTCGGTTTGAGTTCAGTTTAATTTTGTACAAGTTGGGCATTTGGTCGAAAGCTCCGCTTTCGATTCTCTTGATTTCGTTTCGGTGCAAAGTCAGAATTTTGACATTGAGGGTGTTGAAAACGCCTGTTTTCACTTCTTGAATCGCGTTGTCCTCGAGATGAAGCACTGTCAGGTTTGGCAAATTGAAAAAAGCCTCAGGTTCGATTGTGAGAATCCCACATTTGGCCATAAATAACTCCCTCAAGCTCCTCACGTTGCGTACCGCTCTCGCATGGACCACTTCCATCCATTTTGCTCTAACAATCAGCAAGTGTCGGTTTTTTCCGATCAATTTTTCGTCGATGTGTTCCACGTTGGTGTAGATTTGTCGTTTTCCATGTCGAACAAACTTGAGGAAACCTTGTTCGAATAACAACTCACTTTGCACGACTTGTACGAGTGTGAGGATAACCACAACAGCTCGCAACATCATTTGCTTGAAAATAGAGACAATTATCTTGCGTTGTTTATAAGTGGAGGTTAATCAGGTCGTGTTATCGCCGACTGAGACGCACCAAACGTTTTTTTTTCAACGAAATTTAGCAAATTTTTGGTTGTGTGTGGGTACGAGTTTACGGGAATTATGCAAATTGAAAGCCTTGACACAATGACATGGAATTAATTACGCGAGTTTAGGAGAATTAAGAGCGATAATTATGTATTTGTTTACAGAATCTAGAGAGATAATAGTTTAATTGAAAGCAGCTGCTGTTTGCCATGAAAGTTACTAAAACACGAAAAAATCATTCAAAAACTTTTAACTTACAATTGTGATAAAATGTTTGCATTTCTAAAGCCAATCTGAGTATAAAATTTGTAATTTATGATATACAGAGTGTTTTATTGAAAAAAATTGCAACTACTTATTTCTATAAAGCTTTGTGATAAAGTTGCATGATGAAAATTAAAATCCATTAGTTCCTCCGAAACCACTTGAGTTATTTTAATAAAATTTTACAGGCTTCGTGAACCATTGAAAGCGCTCATTTTCCGGCAATTATTTTGCCTTAACTCTTACTAGTGGCGTGCTTATGAGCACAGCAATTTTTAGCAATATTAATAAAACACTCTGTATAACTAGAAACTTTGCTTTTAAAATTCAAATATTTGCTTTAACACAAAAAGATTTCATCTTATACTTGGATCACAATTTTGAATTTTATTTGTAATCTAAAAGTAGACTTCCGTTCCTTTTGTTACACAGTTTTGTTAACAGTAAATTTTTATAGTAGTACTTTTCATTTTTTCAAATTCCTTATTTTTTACGCTTTGTAATTTATGACAACAAACATAACTAAAAATTTTGCTTCTAAAAATTTAAATTTACGTTTTCACTATAACACAGAAAGGTTTTATCCTAAACTGGAAATTTGGACTCATTTTTAAAAAGTTTTAAATTAAAAATTAGAACTTAATTATTTT